TTTCCAGCGTCCTGTAATACCCAAGGTAGTACAAGATACTGGAGATGTGCGCACACATTCCCATCGTTCTCTCTCCAACTGGGCACTGGCAGTAGTAGTCCTTTATTGGGGCCTCAACATCGGGTGAAACGGTGAACCGTATCCAAACGTTATATTTCGTTTGGCTTTTGTGTCGAGAATGTATTTGACATCGGAGAAGGTCTGGGGAGTGCTGGTAAAGCCACACCTCATAGTCTCCGTCATCACTTAAATGTTCGGCGATGTAACCAGGAGCCAGAGATATCTGATACGTTCCACACGTAATGGTTCTCAAGTAATCAAGATCGAGACGGGGAAACAGTACGGAAGATGCATCCATCTTGACAAACTCGGACCTTGCCCGTCTAGATAGATCCGGATCTGTCTTGACTCTCTGAGCTAAACCATTCGGTGTTGTCAAACGGTCCTTCATACGTTCAGCCATTAGCCTATCTTTGGCATCTCTCTCTGGAGATCTCTGGTAGATCGGTCCTCTAATACCATTCAGACAGGCTGTGACGGTTCGAAGCAAAGCCTCGATGACATTGATAAAGCTGTTAGACACCAATTGCGTTCGGAAGAACGTCCAGTGTTTCAGACGACCATGATAGGATTCCACAATCCACCTCGATTTGGTGATAGTTCTGTCAAGATTTGCTTGGACGTCAGAATGTTGACTTTGACCGGGTTTCAGGTATGACGGCATGCTAGCATTGAGGCCAGAGGCTTCGAGAACTGGTAGGACATCTCTAAAACCTCGGTCAACGACAACGTTGTCGTCTGGTTGTAGCCAAGTAACTAGCTTGTCCATGACTTTTTTTGTAATTGTAGCATCATTTTCGCTGCCAGTGAATGGTCCTACTGTGTCCAGAATGTAGCCATCTGGTAAGGCGATGCTCATGAATTTGAGATAGTTTCTCTTCTTCTGGCCACAGTAGGACATTCTCTGGAGCTTGTGGTCGGAGCTTTTCTGGATATAAATATAGGTGCCATCTAATATGGCAGTGGCTTTATCTCCAAAAAATGCTTCTGAAAAGACAGTATTGTGCCCGAGCAACTGTTCTCTTGTCAAGTGATCCGGACCTAGAAATTGTGGGACTATCGATGTGTCTAATGCCTGTACTATGGAGTGGAAAGTTTTGGACACACTTGACTTGGAAATTCCAAAAAGAGAAGAACACTGACTCCAGGAAATGTCGGTTTTCAGTTTTACCCAGAACAGTAATAGAGCATCGTGTGTAGTCTTGGTATATATACCAGATGAAAGATATGGGGAACAGTGCGAGTGGATTTCGAGGAACTGATCTTTGGACCAACCTGTCCAGGCCATGCATGCCGAGTCATCAAGAGAAGAAAAGCTTATTGTAAACGCAGACTGGTTCTGTGAAAGGACGTGCGACACCTCTAGGAGGTCATTAATGATTTCGGACGATTTTGATGGTAACTGAGATTCCAAGGAACCTCTACCATCAAGGACAACCTCTGTAGACGGATCTAAGTCGTTACCAATAAGGTGAATGGAGCAGACGCGGGATGAGGTGGGACACCACAGTTTGTGTGAATAGATCAGGTGATGTCTTGCACGTTTTGGTAAGACTGATGATTTTGTTCCATTTCTTGCAAAGGTAACAAGACAGAGACAGCATTTTTTGTGTGAAGATGATCCATTCAAAAGATCATGAAGGGTCAGCAACGGCAGGATATGGGACGGGGAGTCGTCTTCTTCCTCTATTTCCTGGTTCTGCTCGGGTTCAGGTTCAGGCTGATTTTTGTTCCGAAGATACTTCATGTAGCACTTCTGGCAAATAAGTGCTTGTTCCTTTGCTGACATCAATCCTTGTTGCACCAGCGTATCTAGGAGCCATTTATATTGTGGACTATTTACATTGCGTGCACTTCTGTTCTTATTGCCACTACGTTTCTTGAAGTATACTTGACACCCTTCTCCAACACATTTACCCTCCATCTTGAAACAATAACGATTGGTTTATGAAGCGTCGATAAAGTAACAAAATAGCAAGCCACCGATGATTGCTGTAAACAGCTAATACTTAGTAGTTTGGTACAATTATGCGAAAATGTGTGATAAATAACGAACAACTAATTACACAAAATAACAAGACAATATAATAAATCACATTCAATACCTCCAAGAAGCGCAGAATTGATTGATTACTTAGAACAAAATAAAGTATTTCATATGGATAATCTATCTATTCGATGTGGCGTGGTCGGCAGGCACAAAGAAAGTGAGACAAGTCAGGGTCCCAACCCTGACAGAGCCACAACGCTTTGGAGATGGGACAATAAAACAAGGAAAGTGAGACAAGAATAGCTAGCGTCGAGTCAATGATTCCGTAAACGTATAGACAAAGACAAGAAGATACGGATAAATGTACAAGGCCACACGATCAGAAAATTCAGAAGAGGACAACTTGAGATAGAACAGTATTCATGTATCAGGGTGTCCTCAGTGTAAATCTTTATATCGATACTGTTTATTTAGTCGTTACACATCATAAAACTGTCATGAAAATATCCGCTCTGATATTCAATATAAAAGTTTGTATATAATAAGCTATATAATAGGGTTTCAGACAAGGTTGTTACTCATTTCCCCTTTTCTTTCAATTTACAACCACATTCAGGCGGCGATATGAGAACGTTCCACCACATGGAATTAGCTGATTTTTGGTACACATATGAAACAAGTAAAGCTCTATCCGATTTTCTGATGGAAATTTGCATCCAAAACTATATAACGGGAGAAAATTGCAATTTTATGGCATTTTTCTTCATAATTGTGTCTCTGCAAGTGCATTTTCATCCGAGAATTTTTTTTTTTATGTTTTATGAATAAACACGATGTTTTGGAAATATTTATCAAAAGAAATTTATACTATGTTGCGAATTACAATTTCGAGATAACCTTCTTTTATTTACGAACTTATGTCTTTGATGCTGAAATTGACAACTTTATAAAAATACATTTTCACTGAAATTATGAAATCTGGGTGTCGGAAAGGTGTAAAATTATTCTTCGGAAAAGAAAAAAACCAGTAGTTGAGCTAGATAAGAAATTATACGGGGGCAGGCTCCTATGGAGAATTAACATTACTGGAAACAGGCCCTTTCATCAGTTTTTGATTTCCATTTGTTGAGAATATGAACGAAATAATTAACATTTTTGAAAGTCTAATTTTAGTCTTAACATAATGTATGTATGCACCACCACTCATAAAAGAAACAATGAATAATTTGTTTCTTTCGAAATCAACAATAATTGTCAAGATAACCAATCCGAGATAATAATAATAGTTTTCAAAAACGGACGTGCTGCCATACTTCCCAGAACGGACGGTATTTAATATCATTAGAGCTTCCTCGACTAGCCGACTTTAAATAAAGTTTATCTTATATCATCCTGAAAGCAGTATTCGGAATAAGTAAATATCAGAGATCAACAAAAGCTTTGCTCTTTTAAGGCTTTGCCTTTTCATATTATGCTCTAATTAGACGGGCGCTATAACTATCGTTTAGTCATCAGTTTCCGCGCGTTATGTATTTCCGCGCAGGCATTTTATGTTACTACGTGACCTGCTGGACAAAACACAAGGATGTTTTAGACGTTTGGCCATCGTCTGTAAATTGACACAAAAAATACCGGAAATTCGTCCGGAAAACATAAGAATTAATCACTGATTAAAAAATACGCATAAATATGTAATTTTGCTAATTGCACTTTTTATCTTGCTCAAATGAACCCATACCTGAAAAAACGGTGATATATTTCATTTATGAACCAGTCTTTTTTGTAGTCTGACAAACGTACGAAAATGTCGTATGCAAATGAGGCCACATCTCCTCGCCGATTTTTTTTTCCACTTCCGAAGAGCCAAGGAGACATTCCTATATCGATAAACAGTGTTTTCAATGAAACGTAAACCTTGTAATGCAATGAGCTTCCAATTTTCACCAATTTCAAACAGAACGAAATGAGAAATAACTTACCATCAACCAAAACCGATATAAGATTGCAGAAAAATAATAATAACAGATTCTATATCATAACTAAATAAATATGATAAATACATTTCTAAATTTACATGAAATCGTTCAATTTGACATCTTGAAAAATCAATTAATTAATTTGACGATCAAAGATTTTTTCTTTATTCCAAACAAAGCTTTTGTTCTTGCAGGTCACTGTAGAGCATTTCTTTTTAGTGTTTCGAGTTTCTTTGAACACTAAATCAAAATAGACACAAGGAAACATATGACGGCTACTTCGGACGGGAGAAATTTGTTAAAAATTGTTTGTTCTGAGTTTTTTTAAAATACAGTTTTATGTTGCTAGTCTTTTGTTTCCTTTAGTAGATTGTATACATGTTTATGACAGTCATCCGTAATTTCAACAGTTTTCTGCCGATATGAGTACGAAATCGCGGATGCTTCTTAAGTGCGCGGAAACCGGTTACCCGAGGAATCTACTTATGTGTGTATGCCTGTTGTGTGTGTGTGCTGGAGAATCAGATGTAATGTGTGAGATATTCTATTTGAAGTGGGACTGTGCTTCCAACGGCAGCATTTATAGTGCCACCTCGCTTGAATGCTACAGCACAGATACCGCAACATCCACCCCAGACAAATGTATACTCCACTTGGGTTGTTGGAGTTGTGTTGGCAGAAGAAAAACACTTTCTGTGAGGAAGGCCGGAGTGTTCACCACTCGACCAATTCACCCACATATATTACCCAGCATTAAAATCCGCCACGTTTCATTAAAATGACACTATTTCAGACCCACCTATTGACATTTGCATAAAATAACAACAACAAATAGTATTGTGTTTAAGACAGTAAGGCTAGCTGTTTTCGTCAACAAAGGACAACCGAGTTCAAGGTTAGCCTGTGTACGCGATAAGGTTGGAAAGGTCGGCTGTATCGATCCAAATCACATTATGAATAGCTTCATGACCTACATTGTAGCTAGCTGACGGTGAACAACACGTACGCTGCCAGCAAAAAAGTAGACGAAAACATCACGTAGGCCTTATCTAGTTGTAAATATAAATTGGTGTTCTACAGAAGACGTACACATATTTGGTTTTATTTAAACGCTAACAGTCGACCTGGTAAACTGCGATTGATCCAGAGACGTATTGTGTCTCACCAAAGGTACGTTTTGAATGCATGTCCATGATGTATTTGTGTATTGATTCTGTAAGTTTGTAGCCGGTTTTTCGGCTCAAGATCTGACGTTTTGGAATTGATGCATTATTGGAATGCAAGACCACAGGAGTCTGACGTTAATCAATATATATTTACATTCTGTGTTATATGAGACTGCATATATATATATACTACAATTTACAATGATATGGCCAGTGAAGGAATACATTGTCCACCAGATACTTTCGATATCAATAGGCCTTAGTCAGAGAACTTTCTTGGTTCGTTAGAATTTAGTAATGTAGGTCATCGCAAAAAATAAAGCAACTTGACAAATTATGACAATATAAATTTATTATAACATATGTGTATGTATCGTCTAGTCATATTTTTCGGTGCGTTATACATTTCCGCGCAGCCATTTTATTAAGCTATTTATCTCGTAACTACCTGACCTGCTGGACACAAAACAAGGTTATTTCAGACGTTTGGCCATCGTCTGTAAACTGACAAAAATTACCGGAAGTTCGTCCGGAAAACATAAGAAATAATCAGGCAGCCATCTTTGATTTTGATATTGAAAGTTTGTTATGGCTATTTATCGGGAAGTATCAGAGGGATCTTTCTCAAATTTTATATGTAGGATCCCCTTGGTCCTTAGCTGTGCAGGGCAACTTTTGAGATTGATAGAATAAACAACATGGCCGACAGGTAGCCATCTTTGATTTTGATATTGAAAGTTTGTTATGGCTATTTATCGGGAAGTATCAGAGGGATATTTCTCAAATTTTATATGTAGGATCCCCTTGGTCCTTAGCTGTGCAGGGCAACTTTTGAAATTGATCGAATAAACAACATGGCCGACAGGTAGCCATCTTTGATTTTGATATTGAAAGTTTGTTATCGCTATTTCTCAAGAAGTAAAAGAGGGGTCTTTTTCAAATTTGATATGTAGGTTTCCCTTTGTCCTTAGCTGTGCAGGGCATTTTTTTTAGACTGATCGGATAAACAACATGGCAGATAGGCAGCCATCTTTAATTTTGATAGTGTGGGTTTGTTACGCTCTTTCTCCGGAAGAACTAGAGGGATCTTTCTCCAATTTTATATGTAGGTTCCCCTTGGTCCTCAGCTGTGCAGTGCATCTTTTGAGACTGATCGGATAAACAACATGGCCGACAGGCAGACATTTTTGATTTTGATTTTGAAAGTTTATTATCGCTATTTCTCGAGAAGTATTAGAGGGATCTTTCTCAAATTTTATATGTAGGTTCCCCTCGGTCCTTAGCTGTGCAGTGCAACTTTTGAGACTGATCGGGTAAACAACATGGCCGACGGGCAGCCATCTTTGATTTTGATATTTAAAGTTTGTTATCGCTTTTTCTCAAGAAGCTCTAGAGGGATCTTTCTCCAATTTTATATGTTTGTTCCCCTTGGTCCTCAGCTGTGCAGTGCTTCTTTTGAGACTGATCGGATGAACAACATGGCCGACGGGCAGCCATCTTTGATTTTGATATTTAAAGTTTGTTATCGCTTTTTCTCAAGAAGTTCTAGAGGGATCTTTCTCAAATTTTATATGTAGGTTCCCGTTGGTCCTTAGCTGTGCAGGGCATTAGCTGTGCAGGGCATTAGCAAATTTTAAATGTAGGTTCCCCTTGATCCCTCGTTGTGTATGTTATATTTTGAGACTGATCATAAAAACAAAATGGATTAAAAGAAGAACTAAACAGATCTTTCTCATATTGCAATGATCGATTCTTTTTCTTTCACATTAAGTAATGTACTAGTAAATATGTGAAATGACAAACTAACTTTGAAGGTTGGCTTTCATATACATCCGTATTAAGTTTAGATCAAAAGTTACCTCAAGGTGCATTTACTGTTAACATGACTCGATCAAACAGATTAGAGGAAAGAAGAGAAAAGATCGAACTGACAAAGAACTAATGAAGATGGTACAAAGGTGGGCGCCAAAATCCCTCTGGGATCTCTTGTTCTTTATGGGCATCTTCTTCTGAATAACCAAAAGACTACATTAGGGTCGTTAAAATATATGGTCCGAAGCATTCTGGAATGAAGGGGTTTCTTTCTTATGCTCCATTCTTATGCTTATTGATTATGTTTCCAATAATATACCAACCTTCTTGTCCAACAATAAATCAAAGTAACTTCAGAATATTGTATGTTACTATTTTCTCAATCAAAGTCTATATGATTGGTGTATTTTGTTGTAGATAGCTAGTGACAGACCTGGTATAACTGGAAACCATTCTCTGATATTCGAACAAGATGTTCGAGTCCTATCAGGAAGAGGTGTTAGAGGTCCATGAGATTGTTGTCCCTCATCTCGGGACACTTCCGATCCTCAAAGGTGACTTCAATCTGCTAGGCGAGAAAGTCAAGAAGTTCATTGGCAAATACGTAAGTTAAAATCAAATATAAAATAATGTTAACCCATTGTAGTCTGAAAGAGTCAACACCGAATACAAGTAAATCACCTGTAAATATTTCATACATATAGCTTCATTTTATGCTACCATGCACAAATAATAAGAATTTATATTAAGATTACCTCTTTTATATATGATTTCTGTATAGATCTTTTAAATAAATCACCTTTTTAATCTACTGTTGTCACAGTGATCTATCTTTTTTCTACATGCATTTATTTTTCCGTCATATTGACCTATTTATCTTTCTTTTTTAAAGTGACCTATTTCTTGTCACAGTGACCTATTTATGACTGTCACAGTGACCTATTTATCTATTTTTTTCATACTGACCTTTTAAATTGCCCCTGGTAGATTGACCTAAATATTAAATATTAAAGAATTGTGTCCACTAGGAAAATTCATCTATGAGGCAAACAAATTAAGGGTATTATAATGGAATATGATTGTCTTCATTCTCTGTACATTGTCCATGACTTGTGTATATCCTTGTATATGTATTGTATACTGATGGGCTAACGGCCTTAGTTTGAATAAAACTTAAAACATTGACCTATTGATCTATCTTTGTCACAGTGACGTATTTAATTGACCGTATGACAGTGACCTATTTATGTCTGTTACAGTGACCTTTTTATCTATCTTTGTAACAATTCCCTTTCCAATATATTTTTGTCACAGTGACATTTCTATCTATTATTGTAACAGTGACATATTGAATTGCCCTTGTCACAGCAGTGACCTATTTCTCTTTTCCTGACACAGTGACCTATTTAATTGGCCTTATGACAGTAACCTATTTATTTCTGTTACAGTGACCTTTTTATCTATCTTTGTAACAATTCCCTTTTCAATATATTTTTGTCACAGTGACCTTTCTATATATTATTGTAACAGTGACATATTTAATTGCCCTTATCACAGCGACCTATTTCTCTTTTCCTGACACAGTGACATATTTAGTTGCCCTGTCAAAATGATTTATTTATGGATATCTATGACTTTTTTTCTCTCAAAGACAATGACGTCTTTTTGCGATAAACTGTTTCATTGTTGTTATAGTTACTGTTTACTGTCATCCTTATTTAATAAAAGTAACCCCACATGTTGATCCCACATTCAAACAATGATGTAAGATTTTTCATTACATCAGGAACAATGAATATAAAGATGGAACTATGAAATAAAGATGATATCTATAAGTCATTTACGTTGATACTGATATATCAATGTAATGTTAACAACCTTGTATTTCAACACATCTGTCACCTGATCTGAATATGACAAAAATATGAATTCCATGTATTTGTTGATATTCAGACATAATTATACCGAGGCATGTCAATTCCATTTTCAAGATCGCATTTTCAGATGAACATTATATCACTTTTATGAAACTAATTATATGGCTTGTTTCATTTAGGAAAGAATCGTGAGTGTAGATTTGTTTTGCTGCAGGTACAAGTGTGTAAGCCCAGAGCATTGTATATATGTGATGGAACTCAACCCGAAGCAGACGAGGTCACACAAAAACTGGTGGAGCGGGGAACTCTCACCCAACTCACCAAGTATGAGAACTGGTGAGTACGTGCTTGTCACAGGAAGTATATAATTCTCACCAAACTCATCAAGTATGAGATTGTCACAGGAAGTATATAACCCTTACCAAACTCGTCAAGTATGAGAACAGGTGAGTATGTGATTGTCATAGGGAAATATTTACATTCTGTATGCTTGGACCCATTGACGAAAATGTCATTCATTTTTGAATAACACAGTTTACCTCATTACTGCGTATTGATACACTAAAATGTAGCACATGACGTACTTGGTTTACGTCCGCTGTGGAACAGCCCTCAATGTAGTTATGTTATGCTTATATGAGTTAATATTAAACATGATTGACTTATTTTAAATGCCTATAGTGTGTAAACACAAAAATAATAGATCACCCGTATTAATTATACAAATTAAATTTGAAAAAGTAACTATCTTTTGTTTGTTTTGTTGTCATGCTGTTGTTTGGACCACCAACAGAAGTTTTACATTTTCCCGCGAAAACAAGCTGTTCTCTCTACTGCATTGCCCCCATGTATAAATAGAAACCAATGCCTGTATTTGTTTTATTTATGCTTGCATCGGAATATGTTTAGTGCTTAATCACTCATCAAACTCACCATTAAATTATAAGAACTGGTAAGTATGTGATTATCACTGAGGAATATATGTAACAAATTGCATCAAACTGACCATTAAAGTATGAGAATTGGTGAGTACGTGAGTCTCACATGAAGTATACAACTCTCACCAAACACACCAAGTATGAGAACTGGTGAGTATGTGATTGTCTCAGGGAAGTATATAACTCTCATCAAACTCACTATTTAAGTACGAGAACTGGTGAGTATGAGTTGTCAGAGAGGAATGTACAGCTCTCACCAAACTCACTGTTGAAGTATACTCGAAAAATAAGATTCGGTAAAAAACATGTGTTTTGGAGTTACAAAAATATATTCTGTATTGATCCAGGTTACTCAAAAGGTATATCTACAGCCAATGATGACTTGTTGTATGTATAATGTCTAAATTATAACTTATGTATTCTTTGAGTTTACTTGCAATTCGTTACCTATGATTACTTACCTGTAGTGTTTACTTAGAACAGTGGTTTAGATACGCATCATTACTTCAAGTTCAAGTTAAAATATTTTATTTTCTTGTCAAACACATACTATTCATAAAATCACAATACATATACCTTTGAATATAAAATGTGTCTAGCCAAAATGACTTATTAGACATGTTATAAGACCAATCACACTATTTACTATCTTCAGACATGTAATGTTATTAACCAGTCTTTGTAAAGACAACTATGCTTGATAATCGTTTTTTTGCTAGTAGCAGGACTATAATATGCATATGTATAATGCCATGTACCCCAACAGGGTGAGAGATATACAAGAGTGGTTGGGCCTATCCGTACCGACAAATTATATACCCCCACCCCCTGTACCTGCACAATCATCTAATTATAATACATAATTTAATATGGGAGAAACATAGTTCCTCTCCTCCACATAAGAGAAAGTTGGGTAGCTAGGGTTTTTTGGAGAACTGGTTCACACATCAAATATCTGAATTGTTCAAATTTGTTCATATCATTGAAAATACATTGTTTGCTTTCGTTAAAATTACAGATCTAAGATCATCATAAAATATACATTCCATTAAACAATGATACTCGTTTTCTACATCATTGTTGCACAATTTACATAACCTATTATTGACAGGAATCACAGGTCGGGCATGCCTACCTTTTTCAATTTCAAGGGGCAAAGAACCACATCTAAAGTAAAATAAAAACATTCTTTTACATTTGAGATGAACAGATTTTACATAATCGCTAGTGACAGGCTCATACTTGTAAGTTCTATATGTACACAGTTTATTACCATTTACATTGTTTGTGTCATCCCACAGAGACAACTGCCACTTATCATCATCTTCCAATTTGACTCTGGACATTCCTAATATTAATATCTTTCATACGTTTGTGCGTAAATGTATTTGCGGTTAAAACTTCTTGAAGTTTTCTCAGATATCAGACTAACAAACCAAGAGTCACAGGATTTTCAAATAGAACATGACCATTTATGAATTGTCTGCAGCTATCATCGCAATTCTTTATACTTAAATATAATCTAAAAACTTCAGTTAATTGGTTAACTTCACATGAATTCCAACCCATATCTCCTCTAAGGGCTACATTACTTGCATTTCTATCAGCACCCAGAAAATACATGCATGTTTTATTTTGAACAATAACAATTTCTCTATATTTATTCAGACCCCAGATTCCAGTACCATAAAATAGCACTGGTTCCACTAGAGGTACATACACCTTACAATAAACTTCATAACACATTTCTCCAGCATGTACATACTTGGAATAAAAAGCATATAATGCTGTACTTGCAGATTTACATAATTCTTGTACAGTTAAATGTAAATTCAAGTGTTGATGAAACCATAAACCAATGTATTTGTAATTCTGGATTTTTTCTATAGGTATAGCACCACATGTAAAATTAAAATTTGTTAGAGGTACAGATGGATTGCGAAAATGCACAACATTTGTTTTTTCTTGATTTATGCCTAAATTCCATCAACCTCATCTTGTGCGATAAGTGCTATATTATCCGCATACAGAAGTATGGATACCTGGGCGTCATCGACCTTTACACATTTACCTAGTTATTTAATATCAGGGGCCAGATGATCATTTATATATAATGAAAAAATTGTCGGGGAGACTTTAAATCCCAGTGTTTCAAACCTTGTTTTACTTCAAAGACCTCTGTAAGTTTACAGTTAATCTTTACCCTTGATTGGATATCATGGTACAAGGATTTTATGGCTTGTAAGTAGTTGCCATGGATACCAAAATGTTGCATTTTAATCCATAAACACCATTACTTGACCTGGAGTAATTTACCTGTGGTTGTTTACCTTTATTATTAAACTCTAGTTTACCTGTAATTTTTTTCCTGGGATTGTTTACCTGTGGTTGATTACCTTTGTTTTTATAAATGCTAGTTTACCTATAATTGTTTACCTATAATTGTTTACCAGGTACAGTTTTCATGTAAAGGTTTACCTGTAATAGTTTACCGGAAATAGGTTACCTATAATTGTTTATCTGTAATAGTTTACCTGTAATATTTTACCTATTATTGTTAACCTGTTATAGTTTACCTGAAATAGTTTACCTGTGGTTTTACCTGGGATTGTTTACCTGTTTCTTTTTACCTGACAGCTGGCTATGTCGAACTGATCCCGCTGACGTAGCAAGAGTTGAATCTAAAACGTGGATTGTGACTGAGGATAAGTACAAGACTGTACCACATGTACGTGAAGGTGTAAAGGGAATACTGGGACAATGGCAGTCTCCAGAGGGTATGGAGAAGGAAATGAGTACACGTATCCCAGGATGCATGGCAGGTATTTATTAATGTTTAAAGAAATGAATGTCCACACTAATTGTTTTTATTGTAATCGGAACAGATATGTTGTATTTAATTATACAGAGAGTGAGTAACTTTGGTCAATCAACGATAATGGGTTATTAGCTCACCTGGGCCGAAGGGCCAAGTGAGCTTATGCAATGGTGCGGCGTCCATCGTCCGTGCGTCCGGCGTCAATATTTTACTTTAAACAACTTCTTCTCAATAACTAAAAGGCATAGGATGATGATATTTGGCCAGAAGCAAACTAGGATAAAGGGCTACCAAGTTTGTTCAAATGAATGACCTTCACCTATTTTCAAGGTCACAGGAGTCAAATATGTTAAAAACTTTAAACAACTTCTTCTGAATAACCGAAATGCCCAGGGTGATGATATTTGGCCAGTAGCATGATGGGATGAAGGGCTACCAAGTTTGTTCAAATGAATGACCTTGAGTTGTATTCAAGATCACAGTGGTTAAATATGTTTAAACTTTAAAACAACTTCTCCTGAATAACCAAGAAGCATAGGATAATGATATTTGGCCAGTAGCATGCTGGGAAAATGGGCTGCCAAGTTTGTTCAAATGAATGACCTTTACCTAAATGCAAGGTCACAGGGGTCAAATATGTTTAAAGCCTTTAAACAACCCCTTCTGAATAACCAAAAGGCTTAGAGTTATAATATTTAGCAAGTAACATGCTGGGATGAAGGGCTACCAAGTTTGTTCAAATGAATGACCTTGACCAATATTCAAAGTCACGATGATGAAATATGTTTAAAACCTTTAAACAATTTCTTCTCTATAACTGAAAGTCCTAGGATGGCGATATTTAAGTAATAGCATGCTAGAATAAAGGGTGACCAAGTTTGTTCAATTGAATGACCTGGACTCATATTCAAGGTCACAGCGGTCAAATATGTTTAAAACCTTTAAACAACTTCTTCTGAATAACTAAGAGGCATAGGGTTGTGATATTTGGCCAGTAGCATGTTGCCATGAAGGGCTACCAAGTTTGTTCAATTGAATGACCTTGACTCATATTGAAGGTCACAGAGGTCAAATATGTTTAAAATCATCAAACAATTTCTTCTGAATAACCAAAAGGCCCAGGGTACTGGTATTGGGATGAAGGGCTTCCAACTTTGTTCAAATAAATGACCTTGACCCACTTTCAAGGTCACAGGGGTCAAGTGTTGTAAAATCTTTAAATGACTTCTTCTCAATAACCAAAAGGTCCAGGGTACTTAAATTGGGCCTGTAGCATGCTGGGATGAAGGACTACCAAGTTTGTTCAAATGAATGACCTTGACTCACTTTCAACCTAATGTCCTTGTTCGACATTCAAGGTCACATGCGTCATATGTTTAAATCTTTTAATAGGTTCTTATGAATGAAATACTGATATTCTGCCTGTAGCTGTATTTTAATCCACTTTTAAGATTACAAGTGTGAGATTAATACCAAGTGAGCGATGCATGCCCATTGGGCCTCTTGTATTTAACAAATATCACGGAGAAACCATCCAAATCAATGAGGATATTTGATTGGGCGGTTATAACCGCAATCATATAGAGAGACAAATGTTATCTAAATGATTTGTTTTTAGTGTTTAAAAGATCAATCTTAAACTCTTACCTCCTAAAAATGAACAGAACTTTGATCTCAGTAAAACTCTAATGAATTTAATCCTCCCGTCCCCTCCCTAATCCCTAACACGCTTTACATCTCCAAACATGAAGTTCTCAATTTAGTGAGATTATGACTGACTTTTACATATCTGATTTTCATTTCAGAATATTTATTGTTCAGATCTTAGATACAAAGGAATTGGGCAACAGGCAAAGCCTATGAGCACCCTCTCCTTACAGTAATACACAGTTATACACATCTTATTGTAGTAATGACAAAACACATGTATGTAATATTTATAAATAGCTTATTACATTATTATTTTTTAGCGATTGTTGATGCAGAAACTAGATTACACAAACATCAGCAATATGCATGGTGCAGGTGGGCAGCCCATACTAACATACAAGTCTGTGGTGGTATCATTCCAAACAGCGAAGTCATGTGATGATTGATATATAAATAAAGTGTAAACTAGTAAAAGCGTCTAGTATCTTTAATGAACGAACCTCTGAACCTTCTCCAGAATACTTATATTCTGTATTCATATTGATATCGAGTCTTCCACATCCAGAAAGAAAGGTATTGGTATTTAATGGAATAGTGTCATTAAGAGTACATATCCGATTGCTTTACAGGAAGAACCATGTACGTGATTCCATTCAGCATGGGCCCTATTGGGGGCCCCATCAGTAAGATCGGCGTCCAGCTCACCGACTCTAACTACGTATTGCTGTGTATGAGGATTATGACCAGGGTACATCACAAGATCTGGGAACACATCGGCAACGATGACTTTGTCAGGTGTGTCCACTCCATGGGCTGTCCAAGACCTGTCCAAAGTAAGTACAGGGTAATGTCCCTTGCATTGAATCTCTTAATAGCTACCACAGACAAATCCAAAAGTTAAGTCTGGAGTTATAAATTTATGCTTTAGACTGTCACAATATTTTTTTGGCATTTTACGGCCAAGATAGTTTTGCAGCAGTGTTCAAAAGAATACTTATTTGATAGAATATTTGATTTAGTTTATTTTAGGTGGCACTTAGATCAATCAATTTTGAAATAAGCAATAAAACATATGAAGGTCACATTGAAGCCATACAATTTTTGTAATTAGGGTCCAGTATCAGAGATACGGTTGCCCTATAGTAATCACTATGTCTGTCTGTCTGTCTGTCTGTCTGTCTGTCTGTCCGTCCACAAATTCTGTTCTTGGTTTATAACTTTGATATTTATTGACCGATGTTTATGAAACTTGGTCAAGAGGTTCAGTTCACAAAAATACACATTGAGGTAAAAAATCAAGGTCAAAGGTCAAGGTCATTAGGTTCAACGGTCAAGGTCAAATTTTACATCTTTTCACTGATGAACATTTTGTTATGACATCATCGAGCAAAGTTGATCAGAATTAAACAAAGAGTCAACTGGCCAAAGGTCAAGGTCATCGGGTCAGGGGTCAAGGTCAAATTTTGTAGCTTTTCACTGGTGAACATTTCACTATGACATTATGAAGCAAAGTTGTTCGGAATTAAACAAAGAGACACATTGAGGCAAAAGTCAAGGTCAAAGGTCAAGGTCATTAGAGTCAAAGGTCAAGGTCAAATTTGCATCTTTTCACTGATGAACATTTTGAATGATTTATGAAGCGAAGTTGATTAGAATTAAACAAGAAGTCAACTGACCAAAGGTCAAGGTCATCGGGTCAGGGGTCAAGGTCAAATTTTGTAGCTTTTCACTGGTGAACATTTGGCAATGACATTATGATGCGAAGTTGTTCGGAATCAAACAAAGAGACACACTAAGGTAAAAAGTTGAGGTCAAAGGTCAAGGTCATCAGATTCGAAGGTCAATGTCAAATTTGCATCTTTTCACTGATAAACATTTTGTTATGACATGATGAAGCAAAGTTAATCAGAATTAAACAAGGAGTCAACTGACCAAAGGTCAAGGACATTGGGTCAAAGGTCAAGGTTAAATTTTGTACCATTTCCCTGATGAACATTTTGTTATGACATTATGAAGCAATGTTGTTCAGAACTTAACACAGAGTCAACTGACCTTAGGTCCAGGTTACGGGGTCCAAAGGGTCAAGGTCAAGATTTGTATTTTTCACTGATGAAATTTGTTTTATGATATCAAGAAGCAAAGTTGGTCGGAATTAAAGAATGAGTCAACTGATCAAAGTTCAGGGTCACTAGGTTAATGGTCAAGGTCATTTGGGTCCAAAGGTCAAAGACAAAGTGGATCTCTGACTTTGACCCTGGCTCTTGATGTAGGAGGTATATAAGGTGAAATAAAACAAATCAAAGCAAAAAAATAGTATTGCACCGGTATTTACATTTCTTTTAGCCCAGCAAATATGGAGGTGGAAGGAAACAAGACTCCCATCATAGCACATGTAAAATGTATATTTTGCTTCCTTGCGATTTATTTTGAAGTCCAAATGTCAAACGTCAAGCTCAGCTATATGGGCAGATTGCTTCTTGATGACTATGGGGGATATATTGCCACAAGACGGGGCCCTTACTGACCTGTCAGTGTTCTAGTTTAATACAAAATTTGAACGTTCGAAGACTAATATACAAACATTCGCAATAGTATAGTTGCATGACCTTTTCGTTATGGCATAAAAAGCTTTTTTCCATGAAGAAATATATTTGGTTTTCATTAATTTTTGTTCATATTACAGGAAAAGTTACCAACCACTGGCCTTGTAATCCCGAAAGAATCATGATAGCACATTATCCAAAGGACAAGCTTATCTGTTCCTATGGAAGTGGATATGGAGGAAATTCGCTTCTGGGCAAGAAGTGTTTTGCATTGCGTATTGCAAGTACAATGGCTCGGGACGAGGGCTGGCTAGCTGAACATATGCTGGTAAGCCTTCTCCCAAATACTATTATATTTTGATGAGAGAAAATGTTTTTGGCAATTTTGGTCAATTTCATTTCACAAATATCATATTCATAACAAATTGAAATTGATTCAATGAAAAGCATACATGTCAATTTTCTGGCTTTCAAGTATTAGGGCAACAAGTTATAAAATGTTTTTCAATTAAATATTAAAAATGAAAGAGTTTATGTTTTTTCTTCTCTTAACGAATATTATTTACATAGGCATTCATATAAAAAATAAAAATAAATTAAAGATAATGTGAGATTTTTTAACCTTGAAAAATTAACAGTTAATTATTTGATATTTATAAAAGTATTGATTAATATATATTATGATATATTGATTTAATTTTATGGGTTAATTTCTGATGATATTGTTCCTATTACATTGGAGGGATTTTGATTTAGTTTAATGTTAATAGCTGAAATTTCAAACTGACACTTTACCAGGAGAGCAATCAATTAACACGATTTATATTAAATGTATATTTTTCAGGACATAACTACAGCATACAAATAAAGCCGGTGAACAATTCGTACTTAAACACTGTGTCTGACTGTGTATTTGGCAGATTATGGGCCTGACCGATAAATCAGGCAAGGAGGTGTTTGTGGCTGCGGCCTTTCCCAGCGCCTGTGGTAAAACCAACCTGGCCATGCTGACACCCTCTATACCAGGCTACAAAGTGAGATGTGTTGGTAAGTTGAAGTTCACTCACAAAGACAAGGCATCAGGATACAGAAAACACAAATATAGACATCTGATGTCTCCCTATTTCTTAGGTAGACTCGCTCTGAAGAATCAGACTTTGCCCACAACTGCTTTTAATATGGCTTAGTGCACTGGCACAGACAGAGGTCTGAGGAACTGATACAGAAAGACACAATTATAGACATGTGATGTCTCCCTATTTCTCAGGAAGACTTGCACTGAAGAACCAGACTGCCTACAACTACGTGTAATGTTATAAATTTCCTGAATAGTTGAAAATGTGTCTGTGAACACAAATAAGTGTGTTTCATCTGTTCTGGATCGATTGCATTGGATCAATGGTAACTTAGTCTTAATTTATGAAATCAATTTATTTATGTATAATCAAATTCAGTATGCTGATTCTGCATTAAAAGAATGTTTGCAACAACAATCTCCTAATCTCAAACTCAACGTCAGAGGTGTTTTTTACAGAGGAACAAACGAATGATCCACATACCTATGCTCCCTTCCAGTGGTGACAAATCTCTCTATTTCATGTTTTCACGTCATCAAAAATGCAACAATACAGATGTACATAAGAATATAATGTACATAAGAGTATATAGTATCTGACTACAAAATGCGAACCTCAGTTTTCTAAAAGAATTCAAAAATAAAGAATCAAGTAACTTGTACGAATGACAATTATAACCCCGCAACGAAGTTAGGTGGGGTATACTGGAATCACCCTGTCTGGATGTCTGTCTGTCGTCCGCAGTAACTTGTCCGGAAAACTCCTCTTAATTAACAGGCGGATTTCATTGGAGCTTTGCATGAATGATCAGTATCTTATGTAGATGTGCACTGGCATTTTAATTTGGGATTTCGACCCTTTTTGATGGAGTTATGCCCCTTTTTGTGAAATACTTGTCCGGAAAACTCCTCCTTAACTCACAGGTGGATTTCAGTGAAACTTTGCATGAATGATAAGTATTTCATTTATTTGTGCATCGGCATTTTAATTTTGGATTTCAACCTTTTTGGTGGAGTTATGCCCCTTTGTGCAAAATACTTGTCCGCACAACACCTCCTTAACTAACAAGTGGATTTCATAAAAAAAATTGCATGAATGATCGGTATCTTATGCAGTTGTGCACCCTCATTTTAATTTGGGATTTCAACCCTTTTTAATGGAGCTATGCCACTTTGTGCGAAATACTAGTCAGCGGAACACCTACTTAGCTAACAGGTAGATTTCATTTAACTTTGCATGAATGATCGGTATCTTATGCAGTTGTGCACCCTCCTTTTAATTTGGGATTTCAACCCTTTTTGATGGAGGTATGCCACTTTGTGTGAAATACTTGTTACTTGTGGGAAACTATATTTCTTTGCCTTTGTAAGCCTTTAACTTACAGTTCTGGTTTATATAGCAGCGGGGGTATTAGTTAGCCTTTGGCTTACAGTTCTAGTTTGGACATGATTAATCAATTAGACATACTGTACACAGAAATTAAATATGCTTTGATAAAAGTAATGTTATGAAATGTAATGGCATTTAAGAGGTTTAAAGGGAGGTAACTGTTGTATAATTGTGGGTTAAGTGTTTATTGTAGCATACCTGTCTACGACCTTTATGAACACTTTCTCTATTCGCAGTGTTAAATAATACCATGTTATTGATAATGCTTGATATCATTTTTTAATTGAAATGTGAATTAGTATTTTTCATATAAAATTGATAATAATCAATAATGTTTTGGAAACAATAAAATAATATACAGTAAAGCCTCACTAAAATACCACCATTTGTCCGTAGAAATGTTATGTATGCGCTATAAAAGGTTTGGAATATGTTGGCAGTTAAAGAGTTGGCAAATGAAACGAGTGGCATTATATCAAGATTTTACTGTAATTGAAAACAAAAATTAGGAAGTTGAATCGGAGGCGTATGTATGTTTAACAAGCATTTCTAGCTTACTAGTATGCCACAATATCACAGAATTTAAAGATCTCAAAATATTTCAAAATCAGAACATTATGTGATGGTTTTATTACAGTGTTTAGCATGTACTTTGAGCATGTACTTTGGTAAAACACGAATACAGCATTGTATTATACCCTAAAAAATCTAAACGGAATCTTAATCTTTGTATTGATCAGGTGATGATATAGCGTGGCTGAAGTTTGACAGTGAAGGTGTCCTGCGAGCTATCAACCCTGAGAACGGGTTCTTTGGCGTGGCTCCTGGCACAAATGCCAAGACAAACTCCAATGCCATGAAGTCCTTTGAGAAGAATTCAATCTTCACCAACGTGGGGATGACCCGCGATGGAGGGTTTTACTGGGAGGGGATGGAGGATGAAGTTGAGGATAAGGTACTCCTCTGAATTCATCACGTTTCTCCCACAACCACTACAGGTTTCCTCACTCATTGGGTAAACCTGCTAGGAGTTGGTAAACAATTTTTGTTATCAACTAGCGAGTAATAAAATATTAAAATAGTAAATGATATAAAAAAAATCTTGCATTTATAGTTATAAAGTCATATACCCATTGTGTTATATACCCAAATGTATAAGAAAACAATCAATTGTTACAAGAATAAAATGTTGAAGTGAGAAATTTAAACTTGTATATTTTGACTGTAAAAAAATCCCTAAAACAGAATGTTCTATGTTGTTTAAAATAAAATCTTTGATTGAATTCGATTTTCAGAATATAGGCATCACAACTTGGCTCAACGAGAAGTGGCACATCGGGGACCCAGGCAAAGCAGCACACCCTAACTCCCGCTTTACATGTCCTGCAAGTCAGTGTCCCATAATCCATCCTAAGTGGGAGGCCCCTGAAGGGGTACCTATCAGCGCTATCATCTTCGGCGGACGGAGACCAACAGGTATAGCCTGGTATATATTAATAAAATTGAGGCTAAAAGTTAGATGAGTGATAAATAGATGAGAGCACATCACACCTGTTCTTTATTCGTTGCACTGGTTACCTGTACGATACAGGTCACAGTACAAAATTCTGGTGTACACAAACAAGGCGCTGAATGGAACAGCTCCTCAATACCTACAGGAGCTTGTTACCCTGTAACAGCTGTCACGATCACTGCGGTCGGATTCAGAATCTTTGTTGTGTGTCCCAAAATCTCGTACTGTGACCTACAGAAACAGATGCTTTGGGAGGGTTTCGGCTACGTTGTGGAATAGCTTACCATCTGCTATTAGAATTCAAATACCCTGGTCAAGTTCAAGAGGGATATCAAAACTCATCTGTTCACGACTGCATTTTAGAACCCTTGCAAAGACGTCATGTAAATACCACCCTTCTATTTGTTCAATTATGTGCACATTGCTTGTTAAATGTATGAACGTGATTGTAAGCCTTTGTTGTTTGTTTTCACAATTATAACCATTACTGTTATCCATATGTTGTAAAGCGCTTTAGAGTAATTTTACAAATTATATAGGGCGCTATATAAATGTTGTATATTATTATTATTATTTATAAAAAGAGGCACCCATTAGGGTCAGTTATATTCATAGGGACATTTATGAAAAAGAGCTTCCTATTGGGACATCAATGAATAAGAGCCTCCCATTGGGACATCAATCGTTTGCATATCCTAATATGAGGATCCCAAACGTGATATCTGATTCAAATTGAGAGACCCCGGCTACTTGTAAATAAGAGTTATCCAAGCAAAACAGCTTTCAATGAGAGGCACTCAAAGATATACTTGTAATTGAGAGGCAGCCATAGGGAAATTTATTCAATGTGGCATCTGAAGGGGATATAATTGAATGGGAGATATCATTAAATATCGTTGTCAATGTAAATTGTAAAGAAATATGAGTGATTCAATATCTAATAAAGCCAGATAGAGGCTATGCAGATCATATTTAGACAAAAACAATTCCATTCTGTAGGTGTTCCTCTGGTATTTGAGACTTTTAGCTGGGAGCATGGAGTCATGGTCGGGTCTTGTGTCAAGTCAGAAACCACTGCTGCAGCCGAACATACAGGTAAGTAGGTCACTGAAACAATGCTATATAATTATTAGGTCACTGAAACAATGTCAGATTAGTAGGTCATTGTGACAATCATAGGTCATAGGTCACTGACAATCTATATACAGGAAGTAGGTCACTGTGATAATGATATATGAGTAAGTCAGTGTAACAATAATATGTAAAATGGTCACTGTGAAAGTGCTTCAGTGTATATAAAACAGGCCTATAAGTGGTTCAGTATATATAAACAGGCCTATAAGTGGTTCAGTGTATATGCAACAGGCCTATAAATGGTTCAGTGTATATAAAACAGGCCTAAAAGTGGTTCAGTGTATATAAAACAGGCATATAAGTGGTGCAGTGTATATAAGACAGGCCTATAAGTGGTTCAGTGTATATGCAACAGGACTATAAATGGTTCAGTGTATATAAAACAGGACTAAAAGTGGTTCAGTGTATATAAACCAGGCCTATAAGTGGTTCAGTATATATAAACTGGCCTATAAGTGGTTCAGTGTATATACAACAGGCCTAAAAGTGGTTCAGTGTATATGAAACAGGCCTAAAAGTGGTTCAGTGCATATAAAACAGGCCTATAAGTGGTGAAGTGTATATAAAACAGGCCTAAAAGAGGTTCAGTGTATATAAAACAGGCCTAACAGTGGTTCAGTGTATATAAAACAGGCCTACAAGTGGTGCAGTGTATATAAAACAGTCCTATAAGTGGTTCAGTGTATATACAACAGGCCTAAAAGTGGTTCAGTGCATATAAAACAGGCCTATAAGTGGGTCAGTGTATATGCAACAGGCCTATAAATGGGTCAGTGTATATAAAACAGGCCTAAAAGAGGTTCAGTGTATATAAAACAGGCCTGTAAGTGGTGCAGTGTATATAAAACAGTCCTATAAGTGGTTCAGTGTATATACAACAGGCCTAAAAGTGGTTCAGTATATATAAACAGGCCTATAAGTGGTGCAGGGTATATAAAACAGGCCTAAAAGTGGTTTAGTGTATATAAAATAGGCCTATAAGTGGTTCAGTGTATTTAAAACAGGCCTAAAAGTGGTTCAGTGCATATAAAACAGGCCTATAAGTGGTGAAGTGTATATAAAACAGGCCTATAAGAGGTTCAGTATATATAAACAGGCCTATAAGTGGTGCAGTGTATATAAAACAGTCCTATAAGTGGTTCAGTGTATATAATACATGCCTATAAGTGGTTCAGTGTATACAAAACAGGCCTAGAAGTGGTTCAGTGTATATAAAACACGCCTATAAGTGGTTCAGTATATATAAACTGGCCTATAAGTGGTTCAGTGTATACAAAACAGGCCTATAAGTGGTGCAGTGTATATAAAACAGGCCTAAAAGTGGTGCAGTGTATATAAAACAGGCCTTTAAGTGGTTCAGTGTATATAAAACAGGCCTATAAGTGGTGCAGTGTATATAAAACAGGCCTAAAAGTGGTTCAGTGTATATGAAACAGGCCTAAAAGTGGTGCAGTGTATATAAAACAGGCCTAATAGTGGTTCAGTGTATATAAAACAGGCCTATAAGTGGTTCAGTGTAAATAAAACAGGCCTATACGTGGTTCAGTGTATATAAAACAGGCCTAAAAGTGGTTCAGTGTATATAAAACAGGCCTATAAGTGGTTCAGTGTATATAAAACAGGTCTATAAGTGGTTCAGTGTATATAAAACAGGCCTAAAAGTTGTTCAGTGTATATTAAACAGGCCTATAACGATTACTGTTTCAAGAACATAGATAGTTTTCTATTTTTCCCGACAACACATAATGAAATATCAAATGAAGGCAGTGAATTTTCAGATGAGGGCAAACGAATAAAACAGTTTTAATAGGGTTCAAAACATCATGAGGAATTGCTACCAGTCAGTTTAACTGTTTAAAAATGACAGTATAAGAACCTTGATGGTAAACCTTGAACTTTGTACTATACCATGTACCATTATTATCATAAAATGTTGCTGAAATTCTGTAAGACATGTATATTTGAAATTTTAAAACCATTCATCGATGAAAATAACTCGTTTTATAAATTAGTCTTTGACCTATTTTACTATATTTACTTACAGGAAAGAACATCATGCACGACCCAATGGCCATGCGTCCATTCATGGGTTATAACTTCGGACACTACCTCCAGCACTGGCTGGATCTCAACAAAGCACCGCATAAAGTAAGCATGACTATAATTAATAATCTCTTAACCCACTGTCCTTACCTTTTTTAAACAAAAATTTGAAAATATTAACTTTAATCCTAATACTATTTTCACGATCTTTCATCGCTAACAGTTTATATGGTTTTGACAATCCAATCAATAAAAGAGATTTGTTTATGATACATTATTTAGGAAAAAGCTTCAAAAAATAAAAATATATATTTTTTATTTTTTATTAACAATCTTTTGTTAATTTCTGCGAAGTTGTATTTTACTTTGGTGTTAATTTTCATGAAGTAACTTTTTTTATTAGATGCCGAAAATCTTCCATGTAAACTGGTTCCGTGTGGGTGAACGAGGTCAGTTCCTATGGCCTGGATTTGGCGACAATATTCGTGTCCTTGATTGGATTGTGCGACGCTGTGCTGGCGACGAAAGCATTGCTGTCAGATCCCCAATCGGTTTCCTCCCAAAGCAAGGTCATTGCCAGCTATTTGTTAAACTTTAGTATAAAAAACATGAGGAAAAAAAGTTTGTTAAATGCAGTAAAATGTTCACTCGTCTTTTATATGCATTGTTTAAAAGAGGTGCATGTGCAAATGAGTTTAAATCCTCGTGGTGATAGAATCAATTCTGTAACTTGCATAAGGAAGAAAAATGGCAGAAGAATTACAGTAACTTGCAATTCATTTAATATCCGAAATTTGCCAAAAAGAAAAATAAACAAATTTCATTAAGGTTGTAAAACGTTTCAAGGCTATTCCAATATACAATGTACGCTATATATTAAATGCTGTCTCTCTATATATATAACTTAATTTTCATGAATACGTGTTTTAATCAATGGAACATTATTTTCAAATTTTGAAATGGACAATAGGGAATGACTGCTTCTACACATGAACACAAAAGTAACATACCTTTTTTTATAGGGCATTTAAACGTTGATGGGATTGAGGACTTTAACTGGAACGAACTGTTCAGTCTCCCGAAACACTACTGGTCAGACGATGCTAGAGAGAGCAGGCGATTCCTCGAGGACCAGGTTGGTCAAGATGTCCCGCAAGAAATCTGGAATCAGTTAAACGCACAACAGACAAGAATAGAGAAAGATCTGTAGTTAAAAGTCACAAGCTAATGCAAAAGGGTAACCAATATGAAGAGGAGATAAACGATGACGGAGAAAGACAATTATTAAACCGAATGAGTAAGATCTCTTTTGTTGAGGAAAACCTTATGAGTAGATGCACATCGGATAAGGATAGATAAATGATTGGCAGACAAAGATAAAATACAAGGGAGATGACCTTGTTCTAGGGGAGAAAAATTAATATGATATTTCTTTTTACATGGAATGTGTTATGAATTCATTTGTTGAGAAAGAACAAGGCTCAAGCTGTTAGGTTCGTTTTTATCTTTATAATTATTAATTATTGAATATTATCCATGTACAATTAGGTGTCCTATACAACCTAAAATATAAAATATAAAAGCATTTATTATCTACTTTATTATTAATCACGAAATTCTATTTGAAATATAGTATGACGAATGCCAATTGAGTCAAAACTATTGATGTGTAATTGTACATTTGAAAATATGTTTATATTTAACTTATAGATATACGTGTATGACGTTCTTATATCCAAGGTCAAAGACATTTGCTGGTATCTTCTTAGAAGTTTGTTATTGTAATCATAATCTTAGGTAATTATAAGCAAGTTATCACTATTTTTTTTAATATTTAATGTTCATTTTTCTTCATTTAACAATGTTTTTACACTGTTGTAGGAATCTTATGCAATACCTATCTACATTGTCATTTAGATAACCATATATCACGGATAATTTAATGTCCAAATGGTTCAAATACTTCTAATTTTCCAATTTTGTAATTATATACATTTGCTTGGCATTATATAGACTAAATATTAATTACCAAAGTTAATTCTGTTCATTTCTCTTAATGGTTATTATAAGAAAATAACATAATATGTAAATTAAATGCATAAAAGTAAATGGGGATTTAAAACCCCTTCAAGGGAGATAACTTCATACTTTTTTCAGAACATTTCCTACAAGAACAAAGACTATTTTTTTGATAATACTGAGAACTATGTCTTATGCATTATTAAATATAATCGAAATTCAGATATGTCAAATCTTAAATAAAGTACTTAAAAGGTTTTCACTTGATAAATTTAAATGTGGGCTCCACTCCAATGCTAAAAATCACGCATATTCTTCATATTTTGCAACACTGTTGCCAGACTGCAGACAGTATTGGAAATGAAAGCCTCAGCTCTTTAAGCTGATAGCTTTTTTATGCCGGAAAGATCTTGGTCTAAGGTCGGATGCGACCTTTTCACTATACACGACAAAGACTATATGATATTATCTGCTGACTATAACTCAAATTTCTTTGAAGTTGATTATCTCTCAGAAACTTCGTAAACTGCAATAATTTCGTAAAACATTCCCTTATATCTGCTTGTGCAGACTTTGCCTATTGTAGAAATCACTACGACAATTTTTGAAATGTTGAAAAGATACTTACATTGGTCCCTATTTAATAAAAATAATGTTATTAAATAATAATGTAAAAGGTCAACATAAAATATTCATGCCAATTCTGTAGTAACCCTCCAAAAGCAAGGAGTGGATATTTGCAATTCATTGTGAAATAAAATTGTTCAATTATGTCGACAGATTGTGTATTTTTATGAGTAATTTATAGCCAAATATGGTATGTGAACTATGTTGAATGTATCTGTAGATGTAAGTTGTAACTTATTAAATATGTTTAGAGAATATATTTTGGTTTGTAATTATTCGGAGGAAACAAAACAAAAATGATTTAGAAATACACATGTGTTGACAGGGAGGGTCTATTGTGAACTACTGCTTCCAGTGAAAATGGAACCCGCGACCTTCCGTTCTAAGCCCACCGCTTACCGACAGGGTAAAAGATAACTCCCTCTATTAAAACCTGTCACACAATTGCACTTTCCAGTCATTCGACTAGAGATAGTCATCACTCAGTCAGTCTTTCTTTTGTAATGTGAGCAAAGGTTATTAAACACGATTAGTGTGTGAAACAAGTTTTCCGAGTATGACTTCTGACATTAAATTCACTAAAAAACATAACTCGCGCCAAACGTATCTACAAAATGCTAAACGAGACGCTTACCAGACAAGACATAATAAACTTCCTCGCGCCTCTCATCTGAATTTTTCACGATAAAAATTGCACTGCATTCATATATAATTCCATGAACGCTCCCCCGATAATACTTGCATGAACATTGGCAAAATCCAGCTTCAAGCTTTGGACATTATTAAATATGCACGTAGACTGCCTTATCTGCCATTGAATCTACTTTTGGCATTTTCATATCTTCTGAAAGATCTAAATTGCAAAAAACATCTGCGCCCGACATCAGTTTTGAAGATAGCTGAAGGGCTGCATGTGTAGTGACTTTATTTTCTAGATAGAATACCGGAGGTTTCTGGTCACGTTTGGCGCAGCTTAGGGTTCACGTACGTGTATCTTCTAAACCAAAAACCAAAGTGTCTTGTCGAAAACTGCCGTCCGGTTTCACTGCAAACTTCTGCAAGATAATTCAACCTGTACTCACAAATATCAAGCCATAGTTCATGGAGATGAAAATGACTCTTACATGGCCCATGGAGATACGAATTATGTGAAACACAGCTTTTCCAGTTTCCAAATATCTCGAAAAAATACCAAACAGCCTTCAGACATTCTGGACATTTAACATGGCTTATTTAAGGCTGTTCATCGATATTTGATAGGTAGTTGATTCGAGCTAAGGAGCTATACAGCAAGTAAGCTGGTGAGGGAGTACTTCTTACAGATTAACGGCAACTGCAGAGTTTTCAAGAGGTCGGTACTCGGATTGTTCCTCTTCGTCAACTTTATGAACAATCTCCTTAATTGTCTGACTACTGTTCAATTCATCACAGACCACTCGATCGCCTACATGTCCCTCGCTATATCATAACAGGCAGACACAAAACATCACCAGGATGACCTAGACACACTCGCACATTGGAGAGAGGATTGGTGCACGCATATTCACCAAGCGAAACGCTCAGTTTTTACTGTTACAAACAAGAGGAGAAACATAGTAAATATATTCTAATTGCAAGACAATATACACGAAGTACCCAAGGTTACCAAAACCTGCAAACTGAACTGGAGCAAACTAATTGATGGTATCTCGAACATGGCGAATGGTATTCTCGGCCTTCCGACAGACGTCTGAGGTTTCCTCATTGTCCATCAAGCAGCAGTCGTATAAGACACTAGTCTACTGCTATTCCATCTCTGTATGTGCTCTCATCATCAGTAGACACTGGAAAGCGTTTGGCGGAGGACAGCAACGGTTGCATTGAGTACAAGCGAACGGGTCTAGCGTCATTGTCAGGATCCAATGTCTTGACTAGGTATCTTTAAAAGACATTGAAAGGAACTCCAGACTTGCCTTGGTTGAATTAATCGCTGTCTCTTAAATATTCCTCTCCACACACCATTTAGAAGAATCCGACACACTCTTGACCACGCCTACCAAATCCCACACCGTAGGATAGACGCAGGGAGGATATCTTTCTTCCAAAGATCCGTTCGAGACTAAATGCACGGCCACCATGCATCGCCAGTTTGGATATAGTCTCTATAGTCTAGAATTTGCGTCCATTATCCCCCTTTAATAAGGAACTACACCCGAACGTATTAGGGGGATGCTTTAAGTTGCCACAATAGGTCATACCGTAGTATGATAGCTCAGAGCTTTTGGTTTTAGCTCACCTGCCCGAAGGGCAAGTGAGCTTATGTCATAGTGCGGCGTCCGTCGTCCGTCCGTCCGTCGTCCGTCTGTCCGGCATTTTTACTTTAAACAACTTCTTCTAAGTAACCAAAAGGCCTAGGATGATGGTATTTTGCCAATAGCATGCTGGAAGCAAGGGCTACCAAGTTTGTTTAAATAAATGACCTTGACCCACTTTCAAGGTCACAGGGGTCAAATATGTTAAAATCTTCAAACAACTTCTTCTCAATAACCAAAAGGGCAAGGGTACTGATATTGGGCTTGTAGTATGCTGGGAGGAATGGCTACCAAGTTTGTTCAAATGAATGACCTTGACTTACTTTCAAGGTCACAGGGGTCAGATGTCTTAAAATCTTCAAATGACTTCTTCTCAATAACCAAAAGGCTCAGGGTACTGATATTAGGCCTGTCGCATGCTGGGATGAAGGCTACCAAGTTTGTTAAAATGAATGACCTTGACCAACTTTCAAGTTCACAGGGGTCAAATGTCTTAAAATCTTCCAACAAAGTTCTTCTCAATAACCAAAAGGCCCAGGGTACTGATATTGGGCCTGTAGCATGCTGGGATGAAGGACTACAAAGTTTGTTCAAATAAATGACATTGACCGACTTTCAAAAGTACAGGGGTCAAATATGTTAAAATCTTCAAACGACTTCTTCTCAATAACCAAAAGGCCCAGGGTACTGATATTGGGCCTGTAGCATGCTTGGATGAAGGGTTACCAAGTTTGTTCAAATGAATGACCTTGACCCACTTTCAAGGTCACATGGGTCAAATGTCGAAAAATCTTCAAACCACTTCTTCTCAATAACCAAAAGGTCCAGGGTACTGTTATTGGCCCTGTGGCACGCTGGGATGAAGGGCTACCAAGTTTGTTAAAATGAATGACCTTGACCCACGTTCAACCTAATGTCCTTGTTCGACATTCAAGGTCACAGGCATCATATCTTTAAATCTTTTAATAGGTTCTTATGAATCAAACACTGATATTCTGTCTGTAGCTATATAATAGTCCACTTTTAAGATTAGAAGTGTGAGATTAATACCAGGTGAGCTATGCAGGCCCATTGGGCCTCTTGTGTTGTTTCTGTTTTCTTTTAATAGTGATGAATGATGTGCAATAACCGAAGACCATAATTTTATCAATGTATCATAAACTGCCAAAGTAAAATTATACCATCAGGCTTTGTTATCATCAACAACATCTTTTACCGGGATGGGTTTGTTGGTAGCGTTGAGTAGACATTGGCTAGGTACATATTTATCGCATATAGTGCCAAATTATAGTTAGAAAAGTACCGAAAATATTAGTAGGCCAACATTAATGTTATTCTTTAAATCAAGAATAAAATTATTAGTTCATTTAATATCAAAACACTTTTTTTAAGTTCAGTAGTAAGAGCATATGCTTCCTAAGTCAATAATAAACACCTTGTGAGACAGACATGCTCCATTAGCTTTCCGCTTATAGCGTCGTGCCGTGAAAGCACCTTTAGATCAATTTAACGTGAACATTTTCTCAATCGCTGAAAACAAGCTGCATATAGGCTTAGTTTGAAAGTAATTTGTATATACATTTAAAAAAAAATAACCTTCCCTACTGTTTAATGCCCTCGGGTAAAGATCAAACTGTAGATTTCCTTGTGAATCACGTTAAAAAAATCTCATAAAATATATCAACGTTGAAATATACCAGTGATCCCCTGGCTATCACTGCCGGTAAACGAACATTTCAATTTAAATCACAGAATCAGACACGTACACATGTGTATGTTCCGTAGCCTATCATCATTAAGCCTGACGGGCCAAAACGATATTTTTCAGCACATGTATAAACAGGTCGGTTTTTTTTTGTACAAAATATACATATACATACAAATATATATATAGCAAACTAACATCTACTCTCAGCTGTGATGTAGAACGCATGCCGGTGTAGTGTAGCAGTTGGACTAGGTAGAGCGTTTGTGGCCGTCTTGATTTCGGCGGTCTAAGGAACGAATCCCGGTCTGGTCGGTTCACCTGTTCCAGTGCTATTGGTTGTTTGCTTGAAAAACTAATATCATGCAGTATGGCGAAGAATCATTCCGTGAGTAATAATAGTTTCATACCAACGTTTAGGATAATTCACAAAAATAAATGACCCGGCATGCAATATTTAAGGATTGAACGTCTGTCAGATTGCAGTTAAAGCTAATATGAATGCAATCTGGATGACAGATAAATAGAAACACGTCAGTTAGGTCATTCTATTTATAGGACGTCATGATTATAGTTATCTGTTACCCAGATTGCATTCATATTGGCTGTAACTGCAATCTGACAGACGTTCAATCGTTATATTTACATTTCTTCATACGACATGTCTTTTATTAATTAGTCGAATGAGCTTAATTTATTTTTCTTACTGCCGCAAAACCTCACTGGTCCATTTCTTTTAACAGCCGCAGACGGTCATTTTCTTTCCAAAACTTTCCAAACAACGGTCGCCATTAAAAATGTAACCAGGCGACAACTGTTCAATGTAATTTAATGCTCTAATTATATGTGCAGAACATTCAAATACAAAAGTAAGAACTTACCTTCATATTTTGGATGTCTTCATTGTCTGCAAAAACCCCTCAAAACGCGACTTGCATGAACCAAACGACAACAACAAGAAAGCGCCTATCGAACAAATGGATGACGTCGCTGTAACGGTGGGAATGGTTGCTCACACTGACGTCACGGAAACCGTGGTCATGTAACCAGATAATGCAGACTGCAGTTACTGTCCAGTAACAGCAGGCTGACTTTCCATAGAGTTTAACGAAAATGGGAAGGGCATATGCAAATATATATTCAATGCAATGGTTCCGCCTTCGCATTCATATTTATAGCCTGTACTCATTTATATCATAGCTTTACTCTGTACTCATCTATATCATAGCTTTCCTCTGTACTCATCTATATCATAGCTTTA